TTTTTTTTTACAAAAGTCATTTTTTTTAAATCTCATATTTAATAGTCGAAACATTAAGTATTTTTGCGTGTCGTTTATAAGTTATAACACTTCAAACTCAAATGATTTGCAATTACTTTGTAACATGCAACTAATGTAAATGTCAATTTTATCAGCTAATTAAAAAACCTTTCAATTCAAGCTTTTTCGGTATTTTCTGTTATAGATGTGCGGTCTCTTCTTAGGTTGAACCTCAATATGAAATGTCAAAATAAATATTTTCGAAAAAGTGAATTTTTGGAAGAATTGTTGTATTAGTAGATTTTACACCCGCAGTAGTGCGATTATATTTTTGGTCCCCACCATAATATGCAAACATTGAAAATCCAAAAAAATTCTTGTCTACAGACTGGTTGACCTTTGCTTGGCTGCAGAGTCTGGGAATACCTGGTAGCCTTTCAGTGCTATTAAATGAATGACAAATTCATTTTCTTGTGATAGTTTATTCACAACTAACCAATACCTTAAACTAACTGCAAAAATACGAATCTACGATAGAGTAGTTGCGAAAAGCGCTGATGCGCAAATCTCCGCTATCTTATCAAATTTAATTATTATACGACGGCATAAACCGCCATAAATTACAATTTTATGTCTTTCGATAAGGTATAAGGATGACAGTGAGTACGCGATTTGTGGCGATTTTTTCGACTAATTGACGTCGATGTTTACCGAGAAACTACAACACAAGACCTTAACACGATATCTTGCCTCGGGGGCGGTTCAAATGTCTTCGTATAATCCGTGTTTTGTAAATAATTGACGCTAGACGTCCTCAATATATGTCGACACGCCATTTAAAAATAATTTACGATACGCGTTTATTTCACTTTCATACACAATATTGGGAAAAGAATCTAAATTGCTTAACAAAAAGAGCGAAAGAGCGTAGTGGGGTGAGATGTGGAAATTAAAAAAAATTACTCCACTAATATCAAGTGGAGCTCCCATCTGTAACAATTTGTGGACGTACCTACTAACAAAGATTTAAGGCAATCTGCGATTTTCAATCCCTGTCGTACGTTTATATCCTTAAGGGCGGTCTAGAGTTATACAGTTTATTTTGATTACTGACTGAATTGCTAAAAGAAATCTTTACCCCAATTAAAACTGTAATGGAATGTCGACTTGACCTGCCAATCAATCTTACATTGTATTTTGCCCATTATTTTGATAATAAAATTAAAGATACATGGAATATCGGATGATCCAAAATGACAGCAGACAGTTTGAATTTGGCGCTTAAAATTTTAGTATTTTTTTACTTTTTAGATGGAAAAGATCCCCTATGAATTATTTGCAGACGCGTTTTTAAGAACTAAGAACTAACGATTGATGCTTCCATTATTTGATAATCGATTACACTGGATTATATTGATAATCGATGATAATCAAATTGTCAATGGCATCGATTTTTCAAATTTATGTCGGCTACCCATAATATCCACTTATCCCAAGAGTTTTCTATCACCTCGGATTGCTTGTAGGTTTAAAACATAAAATCCCGTTCCCGTTGGAAATTCGGAAAGTATTTTATTAACTCCGAAACTTCCGCGGGCATACATCCAACCATTCCGTAAAGGTTTAGTCGCAGTCGGATGAACGGTTTAGACAGCCATACGAGACCGACAGATAGACAGACAAACATTCATTTTTATTTATTTAGATTAGATAATAGCAGACCCGAACGTTAAGTCGCATATCCCGGTGAACCTCCTAATAGGCGTACATGGACATTGTCCAACACTTCCATATAATGCCATTACAGTGTGCACATTTTAAATGGTTTGAGGTGTTGCTATAATTGAGGGTGCCGTTTTAGAACATGGTGATGTGAAAATCACACTATGCACATTTTAAATTTTATGTAGAAAGTATTGTAGTAAGTTACCACACCTACGCCTACTTGTATAGGAGTTCGTTGTATAATCACACTGTTCACATTTTAAATTCTTTGAAGACTTGTGAGAGGTGTCGTTTCGGAATATGTTGAAGATTTGTTGCACACCTTAAATAATTCGAAGTATTGTGAGTTAACAGATGTCCACTTAAATTTATTTATTTATTTATTTATTATCCCCCTCTTGTTCTCGGCTCTCAACAGGGTTTTTAAAAGTTTTTTAAGCGTCAAGGGTTTATTGGTCATCATTACACATTACGTGATTTACAGTTAATTGAAATCGCGAATAACCTTCGAATATACCTATTACTTGTTAGTTTAAAAGTTCTTATTTTGACTACTAATTCTTTAACTAATTTTATGACTAAAAGCTCATATAATTAGCAGCCTTGGCTGAAACCTCGCCCACTCACAAATAAAGGTAAAATAATATAAAAATAAAAAATAAAAATCGGCCCGGAAACGCTTCGTTACTGATCTACAGGGTGTTAGACTTTCAAGATGTTTACATTTTTTCTTTACCTCCTGCAATTGTTGAAATATTTCGTTCAAATGTGAAATATAAGTTATGTTAAAGGGCTTACATCATTAGCCATATCAATGGCAGTGAGAATCTACAGAGTGTTTTTGTTTTTGTCACAGGTCATGTTCCATGTTCTACTTCTGAACTTTTTTCGGCGCCACTGGTGGATTGTGAAACAAGAATATCATTTACTGATTTTGTTTACAAGTTGTTGGTCTTACACACAGCTAAAATTGAAAATTGTATCTTGTATTTGCATATGTTCATAAATTAAAGGTTTAAATTGTAAAGTGAACGGTAGAACTATAACACCCTGTAGATCGGTAACGAAGAATTTGCGGGCATATGTTTTCATGAACGTTTAGTCATAAAATAAGCCAAAGAATTAGTCCCATCCGGATTTAGGAACACCCTGCATAAAGGTAAGCGAGTTTTGATGGGGTGGTGCATGGGGGCGAGTAGCTACTGACTTTAATTTGTATTTGATTCATTACAACTCTCATTCGCGCATGCTTTCTCATAATTTAGGTGTGACTTGGCACTGTACTTATTCTCTGTATAAATAACTACGGTAATAATAAGTCATAGCTTGCGTAATAAAGTCTACACGTGAACGTGAACTAAACTCTTAGTAAATTAAAGGTTAAATTCAAATTCCCCAATCAACCAAACCACTAATCGATTAGTAACTAACTGACTGTATCAATAACAAGCAAAATGAAATACGATCAATAACTAATTAATGTCTGAATCGCCAATGCAGATTAGATGCAGGAATTACGGTAGTTACGTTAGCAATTACAATGCAAAATGTATCCCTTTAGAGGTATTTAGCGGTACGCTTATGACTCGCAGAAGTAACGTAAAGTATTCTCGGGTGAATCCAGTTATTCGGATGGTTATCTAATTGCCCAAGTGTCCAGATGGTCGGTACAATGGATACAATGGCTTATCTCCCAGATAAGACCGACACATGTATTGTGCCCAATTAATTTGATATCTTCACACGGAATCACCGTGGTAATTTTAACACCCTCGAGCTGGGCTGGTATTGTTCAACAGGAAACGCCCAGAGGAAGGAAAAGGCCCTCTAAAAATACTACATATATCCACCGTATTAAAATCCCAAATGCAAATACCTCTAAGTTAATGAGATGTCGGAGAAACCAATTAATACGAATAGCGATCTTAACAATTATTAAATTACGTAGACTCAACCGTTAGACATTAATCTCCTACATGGGATTTGGGGGGGGGGGGGGGTTGTGGTATTTTTGGATCCAGTGAATTTTATGTCTTAGGTTTGATTGGGCAGTGTAAGAAAATTATGTGCAGTAATAATCAAAGGAAATTTTGTTACACATCACTATATTGAAAGTAATCTCGTTGCTGCATTTCTAGTTAGGATCAAGGATTATTTTTGTACAGCAATTTCTAAAAAAAGGTTCATGCCACATACAGCTTCACTGTAGGTGAATACAAGTTTTAATAGGAGTTGTGTGGAATCGTTTCCTGTCAAATTAGATAACAGAGCGGCAGATGGTAATCCTCAACATGGTTCACCAGTGGAGCTGTAAACGCAGTGCAAACATTTATTCCTTCTCAACCATTGAGGAAAATCATTATTGGAAGTTGCATGGATATAACTACCCCTTTTCTGTTATGGCCCAGAGTGTTATCACACTTTTAATTTTTTTTAATTTTTTTTAAATTTACTTCGTGCAAGATGCGAATCGGGTGCAGTTATTTTTGCCGGTTACAAAAATCCTGAATGAATTATGGACAAGTTTCTTTACATAACAATTTTCTGCTTATTAAAAAATACCGCAGCTCCGCCAATTTAACAACTAACTGCATAATGAGTGATTTAACAATCGTAATCTTAATTGAAACTGTTAATGTCACAAGACTGATTGACATACCCGCACAAACAAATTGCCAGAACAATTACCATAGTGTGCCGATTATGCGATTTTCCTATAAACGGTACAAGAATAAGGCAATCTATATTCACATCGCGTTCGTGATTGTTTTCAATTAGCCACAAATTACAATATAACTTCGATAATTTCAGGGATTGTTATTAATTTAATGTCAATAACAGTGTTGTTAAACAAAGGGAGACACTACTTCCGTATGACCTTTTAAAAATATCCCTGATAAGCTATCAAATGCGATTTTTTTGTGAACAGAAACGACCTTCTTCTGTTGTGGTAAGAGATACATATAAATATTGAGATGTAATTAATAACGACTGACAATTAGGAGCGATATGCATGCGATCATTTATTATAAATATCAAATTTGCAAATTTACAACCCAATAATATTGTAATTGATACTAACGAGTGTTTATAAACAAATGTAATTAGTACGAACAATTAATCTTGTTATCTTATTATTTATTTTGTATATATGTTGGAAGATAGCGAAGGTTACGTAATAGTAATAATATTGTTTTACATCTAGTCTTAATTAGAATGGGAAACAACCTTGTTCTTTTAATTCGCAATGATGGAAAACAATTGGACGATATGACGCGCGAATACGATACGATAATTGTAGGCTTAAGCAGTGCAATTACATGAGTATATCGTTGTGAAATAAAATTTAATTAACGCCTTCCTATTGTTTCAGCTGGTAGACGAGCACCTTGCAGTAATGAAGGAGAACCTGTTCGAGTTGATCATATAGACAAGCTTAGATGCTTCTCCTGCATCTGTATGGTAAGCTCATTTTTCACCGATCGAACTTAATACACCAAATGCGGAAGCGATTCGCAATTGCGAATTCTAATTACCTCCTCATTAAACACGCATCAGAGTAATCGAGTCGGAAGTCATGACTTACACTTTCATTAAAATCATTTTGTTTTTACTTATTTGCAGAGGTAAAACTGCTACAAATTCAACCAAAAAAAGGTCATGCACTCAACTTTCCTAATCAGCCTGTGGTTTGCATAAAAATTCGCGTAGATTTCTAATTGCTATTAAAATAATATTTAAATTTATTCATTGGTCACTTTTGGTTTTGTATACGGTTTTTTTCCTGGCACTTTGGGACTTGCAGATTAACCGATTTGAAGAAGGAAGCTACCGATATTGCAATTGATTTCATACTGCACTATATGTTTCCCGTTTTAATTACTGAAAGTGTGTTTTCCGTGATTATGAATTATTCTAAAATATTGAATTTCTATTGAGGAGACACCTTGGCTGGCCTTGGGTATGTTTTATATTAGGCGCCTAACTAATAATAATAATTTATTGACGACCTTTCAATTATTATTATTAATTACACGATGATTTAATTTCAATATTTTAATTCCTTGTTTTTGTCAACTACAAATCGCAACCAGGTAGATACTAGCCTGGCGTCGCTACTTAGACCCAAACTTGTAAAGAAATATACAACTAAATGCTAAAAATGAGTGTCCAAAATAAAGCCTCTATACCAGATAAACATTTTCGGAACTTTTCCGTTGCTTTTTCTGATTCTTTAGATGGTTGTGGTTCTTTAAATTCTTCAGGTTCTTGTTCTTTTTGAACGTTAAGAATCCTTTCAGTTTTATTTTTTTCATTTTTGTAGTTTTCTTCAAGTTCTTCACATTCTTTGACGTTTTCCGGATTCTTATGATTTGGAGGGTTCTTTCTTCTTCTTCTTCAAATTCGTCGAGGCATAACATTCTTCAGATTATTCTGTGCTTCTCGAACTTTGTACATTTTTTAGATTCTTCAGGTCCATAAGATTGTCTTAATTTTAGGATTTTTCTAACTTTTGATTTTTTAGTGTTGACTGGTTCTTCAAATTTCTACGTTTTTTAGTTTTTCGGGTTCATCTGATTCTCAAGTTTGTTTAGATTGATCAACCTTCACATCTTTCATAATTTCCCCCAATACATTCTCCTCAAAAAAAGTGCGCTGGTTTGAACTTTTATAAGCTACTTTTAACTTAGAAGAAATTTACATACTCGATTAAAGTTCACTAAATTTGCTTTCAAACTTGTCAATTTTATACAATAAGTACTTCTAAAAGTGGCTTGGAAATTTGAATTTATACAATCAATCTTCATTAGACGCCATAAATAAGACTAAAATTTCCCTTCCTTTCTTTAAAATCCACCTCATCCACTTCTCACTTCCTCCCCCCTCATCGAGCACCTTACTCCTACTTCTTCCTGTTATTTACACCTCCGTACAGTTCCATAACATGTATTTTATGTCCTCTTCTTCCTCTCCGCACATTCTACATTTGCTTTATTCTTCTTGTCTCCATTTCTCTTTTCCTCTCTCCTCACTTCCGCATCTGAAGATATTGTTTTAATATGTTTTCTTCCTTCCCACAAATATTTTGGCAACCACTCCCTTATTAACTCTTTATAACTACTACTTCTTCGTGCGCTCTCTATCGTCATCCTCTCTTGTTGTATTTGTGCATCCTGATCCCTTTTCGCCACCTCATTTTCCATCTTTTCTGCTAGTTCTCTTTTTGACCTCAGACCGTCCGTATCCATTTTTTCGTAATATTTTCCTCTTAGTTCTTACCACATTTCATTTGCGTTCATTCTCGTCGTTAAGCAGTCCGCTTACTCCATCGTCCCCTTCCCCGAATCCTACCGCCCTATACGCCCCGATGCTCCATTTTAGTTTCTTTTCCATGTCTCTTAGGTAGAGATTAAATGTGGTTGGGCTAAGGGAGCATCCCTGTCTTAGTTCTTCATATGTCCAAAATACTTCAGACTCCCTCCCTTCTATTAGGACCTTGAACCTTGTCTCTCCATATAGTTACTTGACTCTGTCCCTTACCTTTTTATCAATTAACTTTTTCCCTTTCCACTCTGTTAATTGTTGCATTTAAGTCCATGAAAATATTTTCTCCCTTTTTTTCCAATTTTTCAGCCACCAATCTATAATCTATATATGCAGTCGAACGTTCCCTTCGCGTTTCCTCCAACATCCTCTGCTCTTCCATTTTTATTTCTAGTCTTTCGTTCAGTATATATTTATTTATTATCCCTCCCTTGTTCCACTTGAGCCCAATTATAGGGTGACCCGCATAATGCATATAATTGCATACGTTCTACACGCCGTAGATCGGTACTTTCGTCCAACTTTTCGGGTAAACATCCTCCTTTCCATACCTTGGTTACTAGATTTTTCCTTGACCCTATCTGTGGCGGAAATCCAAGCCTGATTAGTTATCTGGTCTCCGCTTTTCCTTTCTTCAGCCTTTTTAATTGCTGCTCGAACGCCTCTCTTGTTATCTCACCTCCTTCACTTTTGTCTCTTCCTACCTCTTCCATACCCTTCTCTTTCCTTGTAGAAACTTAACAAAGTGTTGAGTCCATTCCTCTAATTGTATTTCACTCACTTGTTCTGTGTTTCTTTTTTCCTCGGTTGGTCACCTTCCAAAAATCCTTTTCTGTTTTTACTTCCCTCATTTGCTCTTGCTTCTTTATTTTCCCTCTTCTTTTTTCTCCCTCATTTCTCTATACCTATTTGTGTCTTCTGTACACCCACTACTTCTCATTTGTTTTCTCTCCTCTCCCATTCAGTTATTTGTTTCCACGACATTGTTTTTTTAGCGTGCTTTTTAATAAAAATTAAAAAAGTCTGCGTTTTGACCGTCCGTCTTTCTGTTCGTCCGGACGCCCTTCTGCGGTTTTGAATTACTTTCGGGGGAATTGTCCTAGTTGGAATTTTTGGTAGTAGGTAGCTTGAAGGTGGGCCAGACGGTCAATGTTTTTCTGGAATATTATTTTTGAAAGAAAAACGTGCATAACTTTGAAATGCGACAGTTGACCAAGGGGCGAGGGGGGGGGACACATGTTCTACCCTTTATGGTATTCTAGTGAAAGGTCCCTTCGAAATGAATTGGTTTCTACAAGCTTTCCTGCGCGATTCCTTTTCTACGTCAACGACTGACGGGCGGGGTGAGGGGGAGGGGTCTAGAAATTAATTTTATCGTTCATGATATTTTATTCTAATGAAAGGTTTCCACAGAAGGGAACTGTTCTCTACCAACTACGGGCCCTTCTTTTTTACCCCTTATCAAAATAGGGGGCGTGAGACTTGTTTTATCCTTCCTGATACTTTAAGGAAAGGTCTCAATGAAAGGAATTAATTTTTACCAACCATAGTCCTTCTCCTGTGATCGGTTATAATTCTTTATATTTCAAGAGCGAATTGTCAGAGGAAGGATCTCATAAGAGAGATTAGGACATCTATTCGGAGGAGAGTACTCACAAAGGCGAAATGAATAGTCTGGATGAGACATTTCTATTGGTCAAAGGGCGGAAATATGGTCTAAACGAGACACATATGAAGATGTGAAAACCTAATTGTGAAAATGTTTGAGGAATAAGCGCCTACAAAGAGAAAAACAATATTTAGAAGAATTATTTCTCTAAAGAGTTGATTCTTTTTGCATTATATAGCTGCTCCAGTAATTGACTTCCGGTGTCTCTAATTATCCGAACTAAGATTACTTATTCCCGGTTTCATCAACGATATTAACTTCCAAAGTATTTAGGAGGATACTAAGAGTGCACACATTTTGCTGTACTTTGTCTCCCTCTTCCTTCGGCGATCTATGGTTATTAATGGATGAGCAGATAATTTGAGAATTATTGCGGTTACATGACTCACATAGATTTCTTCTTGCATTTCCTGGAGGGGTGATCAATTGACAAGCATCTGAAGGAGGCGTTTTTCACACACTATTTTTTGCTTATCTTCATATGTCATTTCTTTCGATTTTCAACATTTGGCAGAATCGCGATTTTCATCACAAAAAACCCTTCGCACCAGTGAAATCCGCATTTGCGAATAATGGGGTTCTTTTTTTGCAATTCAATGCAAGAGATTTAACGAAGCCCACTGATGTCAAGATCGTTTTCGGGTAACAACGCTGAAAACGAGACTGAAAAGTGGATGTAGGTTTGAACCAAATTCCTCACTCGTAAAACAATCGGTGAGTTAATAAATTTCGCATCCTCTAACTGTTGGAATTTATCGAGTAGGTATTTAGAAAATATTTATTCCAGGTGGGCTTTACCTTGTGCTCTTTTAATTCGGTTACATAGCTGACTTAGTTATTTCAAGATTTTTATCGCGAGGTCAATATTCTTAGATTAATGCCTTGGCACTTTGCGTCAACGGGACATCATTCACAGAATGTAATGGTAGAAATTCTGACCCGAGTTACGAATAAATGTAAATTAATGTAGGGGTTGTAACTTATAGGGTTCGCATTCGCATTGATCGCACGAAGGCAAAATGCGAACTAGGAAATGGCAAAATGACACCTGCATTTATACGAAATGTATTTGTTTAGAAAGAGAAACTTTAACAATCTAATCCAATAGATCCTACTGACCCATTAATTCTTGAGGGTTCGCTAAAAGCGATGTTTATAAAAGAACGCAGATGGTTAGTAAATTAGCAACGTCTGGTAAATATTTACTTTTTGTCAATTTCACAACCCAAAGACATTGTGTTTATTTGCCTATACTTAATAATAGTATGAAATACGCGATGATTGGGTAAATCAGTTAGATTTAAGATCTGGGATCCGCAATTGACATTTACAGTGTATTGCCAAGTAAAAACTCCCAAATTATTACCTTTTCCATAATTTATGTTTATTTATCTAGATCTTCGGCGGTTTAGTCTACACCATTTGATTATATCAGAATGTTTGTGTGATTATTGACGATTTTATTGCAAATTAAATTTTAATGGGCAGCTTAGAGTTCTAAAAATAAATCGCTTAGTGCACTACGGCTCCGAAATTTTCCACTTCGCACATAATGGAAATGGCACTCTTCGTGCTCGAATTTAATTACCAGCTTGTGTGTACGGTTTAATGTTTGATTTGGTAGTCTTTATGATAGCGTATGTAAATTAAATTTATTATATCATAAATTGATACAAAATTCTACAAATTTTTATGCTAATACTCTACGTTCGTTATGTTCAAAAGGAATGAATATTTATAATAAAAATATTCATTAATATTAATATTTGCTATCATCGTTTGTGTACGATGCTTCATTTATACAAAAATGATGGTGTATTTATTCCGTAATTTTCAATTAAGCAACACCTTTTTATAACTTCGAATTAATTAACAAGAATTATGAACAAATTAGTAACACAGTTTAGAAATAATAATGGATTATTTTCATAATATGGCCCCACCGAACGTTCACCTAATAACAATACGAGTTCAATGTACCAAACAGGTAGATTTTCACCATTTAACATTTTTCCGTATCACCTAAGATTTATCCCATTCGTTTCGTCTTTGTTGAGATAAGCGAGGGTTGAGGATATTGCAACTACAAAACTTGGCGAAAGTAAATTTCAAATCCCGATAAAAGGCCTCGCTTAAAGATCGAAATAGCACATGTAAACATAGGACCTAAATACGATTTGGTTAAAAGAAAGTTATACAAACGTCTTTCAAGATCGAGATTTGAAAGGGGTTCGTTTAGTGTTTAGTGACCTAGTTCACAACACCCATGTGGGGGAAACCTGACAATAGGAAAAACTGAAATTTTCATGCAATTACGTTTTGGGCAACAATCTGCATCCTCCGGATTAAAACACACACTTTAATCCCTTGGTATATAATATATTATTATTTTATACTGTTTACCTTGCGGGAGTTTGGCCTGCTACCCTCTTAAAATCTGAAATTCACATTCTAATGCTCTGGTTTGTTTGAACTTGAATAAATACGTGTGAATTTAGTTGATCGAATATATTAATAAAAACAAAGGCGATTCAATTCCATTCTATTCCACGTTCCTGGATATAAAATATTGGTTTTATCCACAAAAAGAAATACAAAAAAGCCAATGCCAAATTTTATCTTTACCTAAATATTTTATTTTTACTGGTAGGGCATTTTGTTTAAAGATATATGCCCACCTTTGAATACGAAACAAAATTCCCATCCAACCAAAGGAATGGTATCACTGAAATTAACTGCAAATTTTCTAAAATTACTAAAATTCTTTGTTGGGATTCTTATCAATAAGTATAATACACAATATAATCATGCAAATGGTTCTCATAGGTTGATTCCTTTGGGAATATTAGAATTACTTCAACAAAAATTTAGTTTAATTTTACATCATTGACCTACACGATATCAGTTGGAAATGAAGTCAAGCCCAAGTATTAAGTTTTGAAAGACTTGATATTCAAGTCAACGCAAATGAAACGGAAAAGCGTCAGGCTACTTGACTTGATGAATCAGTACATGTCAAATATATAAAACAAATACATCATGCAATTTACTTTATAAAAGGTAATTGTAGAGTATTTAAACAAAATGAATCAAAAAACACACATATTTGATACAAAGAAAATGCAGAGAAAACGCTATAATTTTTGCTAGAAGAGGACGATTTTAAATTTTCTGGGCGATTTGGATTCTACAAGTTAAAATCTAAAAGAATGGCGGATATACATTAAGATCGCTTCGGATGTGAAAACTAAAGGTGGAAAATTGTATTATAACGAAAAAATACACAAAAAGCGCTATAATTTTTACTAGAAGGGTACGATTTTCAATTTTCTGAGCGATTTGGATTCTACAAGTCAAAATCTGAAAGAATTGCGGATATAGATACGTTAAGATCGCTTCGGACGTGAAAAGCTAGAGGTGGAAAATGGTATTATAACGAAAAAATTCACAAAAAGCGCTATAATTTTTAATAGGAGGGTACGATTTTCAATTTTCTGAGCGATTTGGATTCTACAAGTCAAAATCTGAAAGAATTGCGGATATAGATACGTTAAGATCGCTTCGGACGTGAAAAGCTAAAGGTGGAAAATTGTATTATAACGAAAAAAGTACACAAAAAGCGGTATAATTTTTACTAGAAGGGTACGATTTTCAATTTTCTGAGCGATTTGGATTCTACAAGTCAAAATCTAAAGGAATTGCGGATATACCTTAAGATCGCTTCGGACGTGAAAAGCTAAAGGTGAAAAATTGTATTATAACAAAAAAATACACAGAAAGCGCTATAATTTTTACTAGAAGGGTACGATTTTCAATTTTCTGGAAGATTTGGATTCTACAAGTCAAAATCTAAAAGAACTGCGGATATACGTTAAGATCGCTACGGCGCCTGAAAAGTTATAGGTCAAAAGCTGTAAATTGTGCTTATTGAAATTGATATGATTATTGTCGAATTAACTAGATCCTCGTTGTAATTGTATAATTCCGGCGCGCCCGTTTCATCGGTGCACCCCAAGACAAGAGAACGATCGGATTTGAGAAAATTGAGAAAAACGGTTGCTCCACCACGTTACTGTACCAAACATGTGATCATTTTCCAGAATTATGACTCCACTTTTTCTTTTAAAGAAATGCATATCATGCGCCAAGTTTTTCTTAAAAGTCGAACTCACTAATCTGGATTCCGTTCTAAGAATGAAAACTTCGCGTTGTTGTAGTTAAAACCGCAATAAAAAACGGAAACGGTAATCGTACGGAAACTAACAAGCTAGTATTTTCTTATCTAACCGGATTCATCCAAGATGATTGTTATTGTATAATTTAATTAGTCGCGCATACACATATACCCATCATTTTGTTGTTGTAAAATTACTACAATTTACCGCATTAATTATAAAGTTACGGAGTTGGAAAGGTGTAAGAAATTTTGTAATACTTAATAACGTATTATAACAATTATTTCTTAGATGTTAATCGCTAAAGATATTCAATAAAATATAATCGTCCATCCAAGCCGTAAAACCAGTTGCAGCTTTGTAAATAAAATTAATAACTCTTATAAAACAAGACGGCTTGAATTACAACGATGATCCCGAAGAATGCGAAGAATTGTACGTTCTTCTTTTTCTCTTGTATACATTTTTTTGATGTTCGAATATTTCTTGCTGAGGTCATTGTTATTGACTACAGTATCTTTGTAGCTAATTTTAACAGAACTTTAGTTGGCCCATTTTTAGGCCAACCATTGCACACAGGAGATATTCTTCGGGTTACATTTTCAGCTATACTTTTTGCAGATTTATTTAGAACAACTAATGGTCAACTAATTGAAATGAACGGTGGTTTTATTCGTTTGTGACTTTTTATAAGGAACGCCCTGTATATTATTATATCATATGCCAGCTTATTAAATTCTCTACAAAACCATAGCAAAAATACTTCAAATAACCAGGATCTTTCAATTTCCTACCTTCATTTCGATCTAGTTATTCATGAAAATGCATTTCCGTAAAAAAAAGTAAGGGGTAAGTAATTACCCCAAATGCAATACCTCCCTTACTAACGTGCGGACGGTAAAAAAAACCGAGAAGGACCTAGGATCCGAAAATCGCAGCATAAACCTGAAATTGCTTTCAATCTGCGGAAAATGGTAACATGCAGTCGTGCTAATAAATTTCTCGCCCTACAATTTTCCTTTGGAAAGGGGAGGCTGCTACCTCTATTTTACTTGACCACGCTGGACAGCTCTAAAATATAACGTGCGCCGATCGATCGCTGCCGGTAGCGTCTTTTTGTACGTTTTGCACAAATTAGTATGCAATTTTCATAATTCATTAAGGTGATTTTAATGTTAATCAACTAGAAACAGGTATTTACTATAATGGGTTCCACCTACCACCTCAACACTATATTTTCGCATCCATCGCGTTGAAATTATTGCACAGTGCATCCATTTCTTCTTGCTTCTACCTTAAAATCTATTAATTGTGCTGCATTTTACATTAACCAATAAAACCAAACTGATTTCATATAATTAACCGGCGAAGTTTTTCTTTCAGAACGGACTTGTGGAGTGCAGAAACGAAAACTACTGTCCGCCGATTGAAGGATGCCACATGCTGGTCGAAAAGACCGAAGATGGATGCTGTCAAAAATGCAAGGGTAAGAAATTTTACGTTTCCTTAACGTCGAAGAGATTTGTTCGCGGAAGTATCACGCAATAATTTAAATTAATGCAAAAGCGAAAAGCCACAAATCACTTACCGGTTTGTGCTCCACTCCATTTAAGTATTGGCCGAGACTTTACACTGATTAGGTCCCAAACCCAAATGTTTATGTTAATTATTAAACTATGCATGTTTCTAGATTACCTTCGCGATGACGTAGCAGTGAATGGTGAAATCACCATGTTGCAGCTTTATTATTTAAGGATTACCTAAGAAATAATCTGGGAATTATTATTATTATCATTAAATCATGTCCACCTCACAGGAATACGAATTTCCGTGCCTGTTTATTTTCGGTCTTCGATTGTAACTTATTACAACTATGTCTCTATTCCAACAAGATTGTCAAATTTTTAAATGATGATATACCTACCTACTTATTTGGATTTTGATCGTGAAATGCCGCTGAAAAATTTAGGGTAGGTTTCTGAGATATCCGTTTCAGAGTGGCAGAAATTGCTAATTGTTTCGAGCGCGGAAACAAAAAAAAATGCCATTACTAAGTCGTTTCCAGAAACTTCCTTCTGTTAACGTACTTTTTTGGTCATACCTAGACCCACCTTCGGCACTAATAAAGTGGAAATATTTCTATACAATGTAAGGACTAAGTGCTGCACTTACAGCTTATTACCTACTTCAACGTGATCTGCCTTTGGGAAAGCAGTATCAAATTCAAGTTTTTTACATACTATACCTGCACACATTATTTTACATAGTCATGTTCAAGTTACTCCTTTGATTATATATACTCAAACGTTTCTCGTTCGCCTTTTATCTCGGGCTGCCTATAAAAGAGTTGTATTATATTTCCTCGTATCTTGCATTTTGTATAAGTTGAAATTGCGACAAACGTCACACAGGAGAAATGTTCGTATCGACCTCGTCCGAAACGATCGGAAATTATCCTTCATACTGTACTTTAACGTATGCAATAATTTATGATGAACTCGGCCTTACGTTATTTCCTTCTCAAAATTATATACCGACCGATAATAAAATCTCTTCTCAGGATATTCTCTTTAAATTGTAAATTTATGTAATCGAAGCAATTTTCAGCTCCGCACGAAGCGGAATTAACTCGAGAACCGTAATATTGCATGAAAATAAGACAAAAAAAAATGCTTTTAACGGACCAGCACTAATAAAGCCTTTAGTCCTTGTAAATAAGAAAGAAAAGAAAATGATAATTTCTAGAGCAATCAAGTGAGTCGAAGGTAAATATCCGTTCCCTTTTCACTTTCTTTTAGTTTCGTCTATTTGTGTTCGTATCTCCTCATCGATTTTTTTCGTAATTTGCGAAATGCAAACAGCGATAATTGGGTCGCTACAGTAGACATTCGTAATTTACGCTTTGTGAACGGCGTCTTTTTTTCTTTTTCAGGGTGCATATACAACGGGGTTCATCACGAGAGTCACACGGAGTGGACGGAGACGGAGGATCCATGTAAAGTAATGCGATGCGAAGCGGGTGTTGTAACGGTATCGAACGTGCAATGTCACACCCCTTGTGCAAATCCACAACCACCCGAGCAAGGAAAATGTTGTCCTACGTGTTCAGGTATGTTTATCCTCACTTTAGTTAGTTATATTAATAATTTTGAAACTTTGAGAAGCGATTTCAACCATTACAACAAATATATTCGAACAAGCTTTGTAAGCTCTTCCTTCTTTCAGGAATTTTCTTTTAATTTTTTTTTGTGCGTCGGAAAACATTTTTGTCATTGTCAATCAATTAATTGTGTGTTTATTCGAATCCATTGTGCGACCCGGATAGAATGTTCATGTCAGATTTTTTCCATTCGTGCCCCAGATTTAGGTATATCATGTGTTAATACAAAATGGAGTAATAAATTCTCTGGAATTTTTGGAAGTTGATCGAGGCCACCCCGTTTCTCAATATTGAGCTACTAGTTCAAAAGTTACAGCCTTTTGAATTTTCTTTCGAAATTGGTTTCTAGTCTATAACCTTTGATTGAGAAGTCTAATCGAAAAAGTACGAATTGTTTTGGATTCTACGCAGCAAAATTAATAAGAAAAAGTGTTTTCCCAAAACATTTTGGTGCAGTCGATTTTTGGTAAAAAAGGAAGGTAATACACTGCCTTTTTTTGAGCCACGAAAGAAAAATTGTCTCAGATCGACCCGGACAAAAATTTTCTTATAGAATGTGGCCTGTAGAATCCATAATTTCAAACAGTTCAAGATTGGGCTACTAGTTCAAAAGTTACAGCCCTTTGAATTTTCTTTCGAAATTGGTTTCTAGTCTATAACTTTTGATTGAGAAGTCTGATCGAAAAAGTATGAATTGTTTTGGATTCTACGCACCAAAATTAATAAGAAAAAGTGTTTTCCCGAGAAATTTTGATGCTGTCTATTTTTGGTAAAAAAGGAAGGTTGTACACTGCCTTTTTTTGAGGCCCGAAAAAAAAATTGTCTCAGATCGACCCAGAAAAAAAATTTCTTATAGAATGCGGCCTGTAGAATCCACCCCGTTTCTCAATATTGGGATTTTTACAATCTGCATACAATAATCTAAATTTTGAATGTTTGCTTAACTTGTAATTGTTCTTACATGGTTGAACTCGTAATTGGTAAAAAGCTCCTTACTAAACGTCTGCCGAAGCTTATCAACATAAAAATTGAGAAGCGGTTACATAAGTTTCACGGCGGCCAACGTGAAATATAAGGTAAAAATTATTTAATTAAAATTTTAATTACATTACGTAAATGGGAAAGTATTCAAAATATACACTGTCACATAACGAAATATCCGAGTTATAAGAAATTTAAAATATTACAAAAGGAACGTCCAAACTTTATGGATAATAATAAATTATCGTTAACTGCGAGTGCTTCAAAGTTTCTTAAACCCTTACGAGAAAGGAGCATTGCAAAGTAGCCCATAACTTCTAATCCGTAAAGCAAACATTTGCTGTATAAAATTACTTAAGTTAAAATCCTCTATACGCCATCCTTCATTGTCATTTTAAAGTGACATGTTGGAACTACTGTTAAAAATATTCCTCGGCTTTCAGCTTCTGCTCGACATTATTATTCAAAGCGAGTAAGGACAATTTTCCTCTTTTTTTTCCTTTCGATACCAAATTTAAATTTTTAATAAAGCCAATTAGCTTCCAGCGGGAATCGCGAATAACTGAAAGGATATCTTCTATTCTGAAAGGTAGTAATTTTCGTTTCGTTCTCTTAATTAAGTTATAAAATTCTGAAGATTTTGTTTCGATACACTCTACAATAAACATCATTACTGCTCGCTAATGAATAGTTAGTTAGAGATGTATGGCCGTGATTAAGTGGTTTGTGTGTGTGGCCGCAGTTTCTTCAATTCTCACCGCATGACCCTCTCCGTAAAAAGAAACCACTCCTAATATTAATTATACCATTCGAATAACAAGTTGAATTCCGTCCTGGAAATTTGATCTAATAAATTCTTGAATTATAGTCCAGTTGTGTTAACGAAAAGCGTTATGTTAAACAATAAATAGAAACCGGTAATTAATTATGCCATATATCATCGGTCGAGGAATTAAAATCGAAAAAAAAAGGAACAACTGAGGTGAAAGTTTTTCATCATATTTTATCTTTATAAAGATTCGCCTCGAGCTATAACAGGTTATAAGTGTGTATTCCAAGTCTAAATAGAATTATTTAACTCCTCTAATTTATTGCTGGTAGTTAAAATTTTATCGGTGAAGGACGTTCCAAATTACCTTCAACATTTTCTTCACATCTGTAGCCGTACCAAATTTCTCAATCTTAAAACGGGTCCACTTTCTAGAATGTGCGGCATTGTACATGCGACACGTTTTTGCTTACACTCTTTCCACGTTTAAAGGTCGCTTTATTAAAACGGGAAATTTGGATCCTTTAATGTCAACGGGAGCTACCACATTCCAGTACAGGTCAGACATTGCATTCGTTCTGCAATAGTTAACTTTCCTATCAGTCTATGAATGATTATTATTGAGTGAATGGGAGCAACATTTTTGAACCCAGAGATTGATTTAGAATCGTTAAGAGGAAACCGTAGGTACTAAAACTTCACGTCAGATCATCAGGTAATGTTTCAAACCAAATTTTCTGCTGTTCCAATTTTTGGGATATTCAAATGAAATGGAACTCCAACCTCCCACGTACACCTGGATTCGAAAATTCAAAATCCTTTCACGTTCAAAACAAAACGTTTTTAATTAATTACTGCTTTCCCCGACATCGAAAAAATATGGCACCGATATCAAACTTTACGTTTTTTAAGAGCGCTTCTTCAATCGGATTTTTTGTAACTCATTTAAATGTGAATCCTTAATTATACTTATCCAATTAGTCGGAATGAAATCTCCCAATTCGGACTTTACAATTCAAATCTCCCAGTTTAACAAAACTCCAATCGAGAATGATCGATTAAATTGATTACTGGATCATTAAACAAGTTTCTACAAAGAAACCGATATACCGGATTCGCACGTAGGTATAGACCAAGTCAAGGGCCAAGTACAAGTAAAACGGCAGCCCTTACCTTAATTTAAATGAGATGTCGACCTCAAGAAGTGAGCTCAGTTTCGGATCCAAAACATGCAAACAAAAGAAAACCTTCCAAGCCAAAGAGCTCGGTACACAATTAATTGACCAATGCCCGAAGGGCCTTACTTTAATCGCAGTAAGTTTCTTTCACAGACACGGTACTTAATCGACCAACCTCTTCAGAAGGAAGTGGTGGTCTACTCCAGTGTTTCTCAACGGGGGCCGTATGGCCCCCTATTTCTTGGGGACCACGTACAAAAGACAGAATATTGGTAGGTCACGGAAACTGTTCAGTGGGCCACGAAAATTTACTTCTACGGTATCTTACTGAAAGTTTAAAATTAAATAAATTTACCAAAAAAGTAGGCACTTAAAGCATCTCCTAAGCTGAAGGTGGTCTTTTAAACTGCTAATTACAATTCAATCTAGGCAAGGACGTAACTAGGTACCCGCAGCTACAGCGACTGCGGGGGGGCCCCAGAGTGCTGGGGCCCCCAACTAATCTCCTTATTTGAGTATTCTCAACTTCTTTGAGAAAATTGTGATTAGTTTGGTTGATGAATTTGCTGCTACTGTATATTTTAAATTTTTATAATGTATAATATCGTCTTAACCTTTTTTTTGTTTATTTTAAGGCAAAACTTGTAAAAATTAATAAAAATTCTTCTTAGGCACTGCCTTTTTGTTTAGGGACTTGGGGAGAGGGCCAATAAAAATTTTTGCGGGGGGCCTCAAAATTATAGTTACGTCGCTGGATTACATACGGTTCGAGATAGGGTTACATTATTACATAAACGCAAAACGACACTTTTAAACATTGTAATTTCGCGTTGTGGACAAAGTTTCAAAAATCTTTTTTTTTCGTGCCCAATAAGTATTAGCTATAAAAGGGTAATCATTAGATTCACGCAAATCAAAGCTAATGAAAAAACTAATTTTACACAAATTTTACGTACCTACCGTGGTACCTACTCACCATCCCTTAGTGAAGAATAGCAAAACAAGTAAAGTATTACAAAATGCATTCAATTCACTTCTTGGGCAACGAGCTAATGCATTTACACGTGTCCTTAACGAAATCGCAGAACATGCGAGTATTTTCACATCACCTGATTACGCTAAAGAGCAGGGATTTGGTTAATACGAGGGTTAATATTTCGAAATCTGAAGCAATAGTTGAGTTGCTATGGATCTTACGGGGTCATTGTAAGCTTTCTATGTGGCATTTGAGTATAATGCCTTAGGATAAAGGGCGTAGGACAATAAATAATTTTTTTCAAATTTGGTTGAAATGCGCCAAAATGAGGAAAATATGGTGGTTGCGAATTTTTTGTTTTTCTTTGTCGCAAAGAAGAATTTCCATTATTTTCTTTTTTGATAGAAATCTTTCGCAACATTGCATAACAAAATGAAAATTTTATCAATTCCTACATCAAGTGTTACTTCCTTTGATGCACACGCCACCATTTTTAGCTTTTGCTCTTAACCTCAGAGTAAAATGTGTTAAGGGTCAGAAGAATAGTAATAAGAAGTTGAAGAATGGTAATAACAATTTAAAAACCGCATTGAATGCTGAAGTTTCACAAATAAAAAATAGTTTTCCACTATTTTTCAGTGTGTTCCGAGGTGTGTTCGGTCAATTTATCTAGAAACAGTATATTAGGACTTGAATTCTGGCTTTCTACGACTGATTTGGTGAATATAATGTAGTGTCCAAGCACCCCTAAATCGCATTCGCTACCCCGCATGCACATTTTTACAGATTTATTGATGTATCTCCACATGCAATGTCTATTATAGTTGTCACTTATCGCTAACGTAACATGGGTAACTCCGAGGGTGAATCGTTCCCTTAGTACCTATTTTATAACCAAAATTTATCGTTTCAATAATTAACAATCCTTGCAATAACGTCGGATTCGCTTATGGAAAACTGACAATATTTTACACGTAAAAAAAAATTCCAGTGAGCAAACTTGGGGTAAGTATATAAGCCTTAACTTTTGAAAAAACTTCTTTGTAGGTATGAACCACGGTGTAGTATGAACCTATGGTTCTACATCAGATCATATTCCCCCTCAAATTCTCTATTTTAGAAGGAAATTAGTATCGGTCCACTAATCACATCTTTGAGAAGAACAATCATCCATTGAAGGTAATTTTTAATCTCTGACAATTGATATAGATCCTTGTCTTTGCGTACAATTTTCATTTGAACATTTCGCTACCCAAACTAAGTTGGTTATATCCATCCTTCTGAACTATCGTTGCGTATCAATTTTTGGAAATTACAGCCAATGGGCTATGAGCATTTTTTTCTGGTTGGCATATCATATAATTTGGACAGCACCCGCCCTCATTCTGCACGTTGTGCTTTCTCGTGCCCGATAAAATTGCATGGTCCATAAATTATTATCAAAGAAAAGTTTCCAAAATTTGTTTTACCTAGTTTCAGAGTTAATGTCATTTTGGTGGTGGTTAGGCTTTGATATCTTCCTTTAGCAGTTTCATAAATTATTCATTTTTTGGAACTCTTAGCATTTTTCTATTGGGCCATGTTAAAAAAATGCACGTATACCTACGAGAATATTATAAAACTCATCATCTACCTTGGAGGAGGTATGTACATATTGACATGCAAAAGCTTGCTGAAATGATTAATTTGCGAGATAAATAAATTCCTTCAGCTAACGGACAATAAACGTGCATGCATGGAGTTTAACAAACCTCGCGAGAACAGTACACAATCCCAGCATAATTTCGGCATAATTACGCACTAAAAACTACCTGATGAGACAAATTAAGTACAATAAAACACGAATAACTCGCGTCATGCCAGCCTGAAAAAACATGCGACTTCTGTTAATTGTTTCTCTTTCTGTCAGAGCAAGTGAATCACCACCACAAGTCGAAGCCGCAATCGACTGGAAGGGTCAAACCAGAACAGCTGGTCACTGCACTATCGACTACTACGTGGTCGTTTATGTTGTTTTAAACCGCCGATCGCCGATGATGTCGGCCTCTTTTTTTTGTAAATCACAAATTGACCTTCATCACATTCATATCTGAATATTATGGTAATCGGGCAAGAAACCCCCAAGAAACGGCGCTCGGAAAAAATGGAGGGAAGTGGTCGCGGCTCGCTACCACGAGGACCTCCCCTAACGTGAAGTCTTACTTATTAATTTACCTGCGCGAAAAGGTTCGCCGCCTTTTAATTATTTTCGGCCAAGGCAAGTAGGCCTAGCGCATTAAAACACACTTACCGCAAAAGCAAATTCCAGTGTTAACCCAAAAAAAAATCCAAGAGTATAGGAAACAAACACACCGTGCGATGCGCGACTATTAAGTACATGGTCCGACAATGATATCACGACCGTTCGGAAGCAGACTGGCCGCCCAAAGCTGGTTTAGTTCTTATAAGTGCAACTGCCAATAGCTTAGTTATGGTAGGGATGATGTATAGCACAGGTGGACGACAATAATGCAGAGACGGGGGTTTGCACAACTGTCCTTTTAGTGGGGATGG